ATGTAATGGCATTAGGCAAACTGGACAAGATGAAGTCAATGTTTTCTAAAAGGATTAAGACGATTAGGTGAAACAACACAGGAAACTAGTTAAAGTGAAGGCGATTATAATAACAATAACAGTGATATAGGAAGGATACAAGGGTTAAATTAACAAAGTGGGAGGGGGAGCTAATGGGGTGGGAAAATGTTATGGCCATGATAAAGACAGTAACTGCACATACTTCTTTTGTACACACAGATCAGGTCTTAGTTCATGAATAGCTAAAGCCTCCGCTGTTTTAAGGAGTTGAAAACGAAGAGAACATGGAGGTTTGGGCGAATTTGATAAATAATTTCAAAGTCATCGTCTAGATTTGTTGTGTGATGGAAGTCAATCAAATGTTCTAGAATCGAACTTCCAACAGACTTTCTTTCACCTTTATAAAACCAAGCAGGAACATATTCTCGTATACGTGTAGAAAGCATTCTCTGGCTACTTCCGATGTACCTTGCTCCTTAAGAGCAGGTGAACTGGTAGATGCACATAGAGGCGGTCAAACGAGGAAGCTTGTCTTTAACTCAGGCGGAGAATAGGTTGCGGCTGGTAAAAGTCAACTGAAGTCTTGCTGCAAAGAAAGTCCTATTGAGTCCTTCAGAGTTATATACTCTCTATGTACCATTCTATACATTACATAATCTATTTGTTATCATTCCCACTTCAAGTGTTATTATAATCACAAATGCCTATGTCATCAACCGCTTTATGATTATTCTCGTCATCACCATATAGTGTTTAGTTTTCCTCACAGGATATAATTTTTTTCCAAATACCATATATATACGATTGTACAGCTTGAAAATAAATTCGTTGAAAAGAGTCTCTTCGCTGAATATCTTTCTTGTTCTTGATGTTACAATGGGAATTACTAAATGATTCACAATATTGCCACTACTATTACTAACATCATTATCAACATCATCATTACTATTATTGTTGCTGTTATTACTACTATTAATAACTGTATTACTGATATTTTTCTTACTATTCATAAGGAGGTCATTAATTATAATTTGGGAGGGTAATCATCAACACTCGGCACCTGCTCCGGTTATATGGAAAATCTTACTAGCAAATTAAGACTAACTGTAGAAAAGATATCTCAAAGTTGTATAGTTATCTTCATATGACTATGGACAATAAAATTATGTCCGAAATGTAATCCAGTATGTGATACTGTTCCTTCAATGTATGATACTTCTAATAAATCACTAAAAATGGAATTATGTCTTACCACAGAGCATAAGTTTTACCCTCTATGTAATCTGTCTACCTTTCTGTAGAGTTGAAAGTTAAATCTCTGTGGGTGTATGAATTTTTTTTAAACCTTTTGATGCATATAACATTTTTATTCGGTTAAAATTACTAATACACAGAATTAAGTAGTACTTCCAAGGTTAAATGAAATTTCAAATAAGCTTCATGCCTAGTCTTATATGCGTAGAAATTGTATGCTTTTTGGGTAAATTTTCCAAATATCAGTATATTTCATCATGATTTCTTGACTAGTAAACTAGTGAAACTTGAATGAATTCTCTGAGTTTCTTAATCAGTAGGGTAGATATTGGAGTATGTTGTTGTTATCAGTACTACTTCACTGTTGTTTACAAAGTGAAGATGATATTTTTTGTCAAATTCGATTTCATTTCACATCAGTCTATAATTCGCTTTACTGTGAGAAAATAAATCAATCTGTTTCCAGTTGTTCATAATCTAAGAACTTTTAGTTAATTACAAGGAATAGTTGATGAAAGATCCAGCCGGTAAAGACTTTGATTGCACTTTGACATTTCTGGATAAATCCCGAAGTCAACTTCGGGTGCAGCTTGGAACTTTTACGCACTTATCTCTAAAATTCAAATTTTCAGAAGATTGCAGTATTCAATAATTAAATAAACAGTTGAAAATCTTGTATATTGCTCCAAATAATACACATACACTCAATGTATTCCCATAAACGATTTATTACCTTTTATAATATAGAAAAATTTAAAATTCAGACGCACTTCAGACATTTTGATAAATTCGGGAGAACTGCAGACAATGTGGATAATTTGGACGGACTTAAGCACATTTAGGTAGTTTGGAAAAAATGCAGAATATTTAGGCATAAACCAAACTTTGTTAATAACCTTGAAATGGTAACAATCTTGTATAGTGCATAGATAAAGGTTGAATTTCACTTTTAATTTACTGATATCATAGTATTGAAAAGTTAAATTTTCATCCTACCTTCGAAGTTAATAACTTGTGAACACTTTTTCTAAAATAATGAATTCAATAATTAGGCTTACTTTTATCACACTCGTTTAATGGCGTACAATGGCCGTTCTTCCGGTTCACATTAGCATGATGAGTAAAGGTATGTAACGTGCCGTCTTTAGCTACAAGTCTTTGTTTACTGTTTGCATAAATGTTATAAATTTTAAGTTCTGTCATATGACGATCTTATACATATGCATGTTATTCTTGTATAATCCTTGTTTTATAATCAGATATAATAAATAAACAAATAAGTTGCGATTGCAATGCTCACTCTGAGAGTAACTACAATGTTGCTGCATGCATGTTAACACGGCAGCACGTACTGATGACCGTCGACGAAGGAAACAAGCGTTTTGAAGGTGTAAGAATTGTGGTTGCTTAGGTAATTACTTTTAAGTCTGTATGTTTACTCTTGAAACCACTGACCTTCCTTAGTTAGTTGATACGGATATTAATGCTTGTACATTGGAGTACGCTGAAAGTACCAGAGTCTTGTCCTCTCCTGATAACACGGATAACACAAACTGGGTAGTAATCAGCAATTATTCAAAGAAAGACGAATGTGTACAAAGAGCTAAATTTCTTTATGAATGAATCTATTCCTGTCATACATCTGCGTTCTTTAACCATCGATCTTTTTAACGTCAACAGTTAGACGTAATTTGTAAGGTTAGAGACTGTATGCAGGTACTTGTTTGCTTGTATTAGAACTGTTGAAGCCGTACTCTGAGTGTTTGAAGTCAAATGTAAGGTGCACTTTGGAACTTTAAGGTTTTCCGGGTGAAACGGCCGGGAACACTTTAACAAATTTCGAATTTTTAGGAGAAATGTTTGAAATTTCCGGTGCGATGGTGCAATATCAGCAGTTTTGCCAAATTTTTTAGCGGTATTTTCTACTCAAGAATTTCAAAATGCGTTTAAAGTATTTGATGTCTGGGAATGCTTAACGATTTCACAAACGACAATTTATTATTCATTGGTCCCTTGGGTTCCTAATGGAACAAAGGGATTCACTAGCACGTCTCCATTCCACTCTCTTCTCTGAAATATATTCAACCTGGCTCCACGACAGCTCACAAGCTCTCATTTCCTCTTCACACCATCTCCTCCACATCACCCTCACCTCGGACGCCCAACTCATCGCTTCCCATCTGGGTTCCACTCGACGGCCTGACATGGCATGGCGCGTCATGTCCCCAGTCAGCCTTCTCAGTGCATGTCCAATCCCATCCATCTACACTTCATTACACTGCATATTTGTTGACTGATAGGTTGTTGGTTGGTTCGTTGACAGCCAGCCAGCCAGCCAGCCACAGTGAGTTCCTTGTTGCTTACTCTTATTATTCTGGCAATCCATCTGATCTTCAGTAGTGAGCGTAAGCAGTTGTAGATGAATGTGTGTAGTTTGTTGGAAATCCCTTTCGTAACGCGCCAAGTCTCTCAACCATCACATAGAAGCACCGACTTGACTGGGTTGGTGTTAAAAAGCCAGATCTTGTTCCCACTTCATGCTGAGTGCAGTGCAGAAGATCTACACACTGGTTTCAGCCTAATGAATGCCTAACTCGCTTTTCCGATCCTGGTTGATTTGACATCCTCGTCTGTGCCACCACCTGTGGTTGAAACAGTGTTGCCTAGATAGGTGAAGGAGGTTACTTCCTTCAAGTTTCTCCTGTTCATGGTGATTGGAGTTTGTTGGTGGTGGTGTTGTTGTTGTTGTTGTTGGTGGTGGTGGTGGTGGTGGTTACTTATCTTCACCTCTGTCCTCTCTACATTCACCTGAAGTCCTGTCTTCGCTGTCTCGCCTCACCTCTTCTGTCAACTTGTTGGTTTTCACATGTAGATCTTCGAGTTTGTGTGACAAGACATCAGATACAAGTCATTGGGGAAATCTAAATCTTCCACGTTCTTTTCCGTGGTCCAGCCAGCCAGCCTATCCCAACCCCCACCCCCACCCCCTTCTCACACCTCCTCACTGTTTGTTGCATCATCCAGTCGACCACAATCACGAATATCATGGGTGATAGTAGGTGGCAGCCTTGTTTTACTCCTGTCTCCACTTCACTTCAGAGGCATCACTGAGCTTCCCATTGTGAATTACTTGGCTGGCATGTGGCGTCTTCATATGGTTGTTGAATGAGATTGATAAAGGTTTGTGGTATTCCGTAGTGTTGAAGCAGTTTCCAAATTACTTGTCGGTTGACGCTGTCGAAGGCCTTCTCAAATTCGATGAATTTGAGGTTGAGTTGACTTGACTTGACTGCCATTCTATACTCTGTTCTATGATGATGCGTATTGTAGGGTTGCAATTTGATCGGCACATGATTTGTACTTTCAGGTAGGCTTGAGGAAGTACAAATCATGTGCGGACCAAATTTCAACGCGACACTACGCATCATCATAGAACAGAGTATAGAATGGCAGTCAACTCTCTACCTAAACTTCATGGACTTTGAAAAGGCCTTTGACAGCGTTCGACCGAGAAGTAATTAGGACAAAGTCAACCTAGATTTATATTTCCAGAGGTAGAAAATTCTTGAGACACTATTTCTTGTCATAATTCTTCTGCTGCTAGTGGTTTGTGGTTGAATTTTTCTACTTTTGATAAGGTAAGTAGTGTAAGATGATGTACACATAACTGGTTTAATGTAGTAATGATCAATATTCATGTAGTCATTTTCCCTTCCATCCCATAGGACTTCAACAACCCTCTAGAAATAAATGGCCATAAGGTGGGAAATAATCTCCATGAAGAAAGTAAGTGATGTATATATTTCACCTCGTGTATTTACTAAGCATAAATCAAAGGGAATTCTTTTTTTGCCAAAACAATGTTGCCTGGGTAATAGATAATTAGCTACTTACTTGTAGAAATAAGTAGTTAAAGTCGATTTAACAAAATTAATAACAGTCTGGTTACATGATCTCCAGAAAAGCTTATTGATATTATATTGCTTCATTTAGATAGTTATTCTAGGTGAACGATGAAATTAAATAATTAATTTATAGACATGACCTAGCATTTCAGTTGATGCTGGTTGGTATCTAAGTGAGATCTAGGCTTTTAATCAAATTCATTCACTATCCATGGATCTATCCAGACCGAAGTCGTTGAAATCTTGCAGAAGTAATTGATTTTAACATTACAGTCGGCTGTAAGCATTGTAACTTAATAAGAAGAGTAGAATTTCAGTCTACAAAGAATAATTCCATCCAATGGATGGGATATGAATTCAGACAGCGGTTTTTGAGTGCTTTCTGTTCACAAACCAGCCTTCTCGTAAACTTAGAGGATACTTATTTACTCAGCTTATTTCAAAGCTAAGCGGAACAGTGTTAGGTTTACTCTTCTTTTCTTTCACATTATCACTTTGAGAATTCCAGGCTAGTAGTATTCACAGGATGTGTGTATGTGCTCCATTTTCTTTAATTCACTATGCTAGAAGATGCAGCTATTCTGGTTGACCGACACATAGGTCGAAAACAGGTCTTGGACGTATTTATATCGACCCAACCATAAGCTGCCATTCTCTTTTGACGGTCAGGATTGTGCATCGTAATAACTCAATGGGTCACATTAGACGGGACTATCGTTTTTTAGATTTCGTCATCCTAGAAAAGTTGGTTAAAAGTAGATATCATTATAATGCAAATAGTTTATACTGTAGTAAGGTTCTATAAAAGAAACCTTACCACTGAGATAACACATTTGTGCTGGCAGTAAGAAGTCCTTTTCAAGAAATCAAAAAACTGAACAGGAAGGGTTATGTTATCTTACTCCATGGAGTTTCTTCATCAGTATTAATGTTCACTAGGTACAGATGCAAATCTACAAACAAAAGCCCCTTGAAGAATACGATATTAGACCGGTACAAAGAAGAACGAAACTTTTCGACTTTGCAAACACGTAAGCTACTTGAAGACTATGTTAGCTTTCTTGGTGTTGATAACTGAGGAACAATAGTTATTTCAAATATGAGACAGGACCTAATGGTTTTTCTCCAGAAATCTTTAAGTATGGCAGCTAGAAGTTATTAGTCAGAATAAGTGATGTAGTAAGAAAAATGCATAGAGATCAGGGTGTTTTCCGTAGGCTTGCCTTGACTGTTGAAAATCTCAGTCTGGTAAACATTGCTTCTAAGATCCTACCACTCATAGGGATTTGATGCCTAGCTGAAGTTCGTGGATATCAACACATACGGGTTCTATACTTGAATGAAGGTGAGTTGACCAAAACAGATGTGATTAATAATGCCTGAAACTTGATATATTTTCTGACCTGAACGTGGCATTCAACTTCATCAACCAAAAGGCTACTTGTCAGTTCCTTAGTATGAAGGCCTGGATTTGGTGTTAGTGATTTTGGAGTTTCCAGATAAACTCAGTTTTGTCACTCATCGCTTCAAAAGACAATACTATTCAGCAGCCTAAGCAGCTGGGACAGCCAATTTTAAAACGAGTGCATAACAGTCATCTTCGAAGATAAACTGCGGAACTGTTCTCACGCTTTTCAACTAAACTCAGATTCATCGTAGACTGACATCAGTTACAGGAACAATGGAAACCTGGGAGCACTGGACAGCTGTTTCGTTCTAGTATGAAACTCCCCAGCAGTGACTAGGTACGAGGGGTGATTCCCGAAGTCCTAATGAGAAGTAGTTACCAGTGCTGCAAACCTGGTGACCGTGAGGACAAATACTCAAATATCAGATTGAGTGGCAGTCGTGCTTTGTCGTGAACTGACAGAAGTTGGAAATATGGACCGTTGGATTCCGACCCATCGGCTCAATGATAATGTGCTGGTCACGGAACCTGAAGGTCCTGGATTCGATTCTTGGAGGGCGGGGTCGTGGGAGTGCACTACTCAGGAGTCCTATACTATGACGAAACAGCTGTCCAGTGCTCTCAGGATTTTACTGTTCCTCCTACTGATGTCAGTCTAAATTGAATACCAAGCTGAAATACCTCTAAATCCCCACAAATCCCTTAAATTCAATTAAACGCAGATTGCTCACTAACAATATCGCTATCCCGGAATCTGAAGACTAGCTAGAAATAACACATAGTTACAGTGATAAGTGGGAAAAGATATAAATTCTGAACAGTTGCCTGACAGTTTATGCAAAGAAGTGATGGATTACATAAGATACTTGATACCCCAATACATGAAGGCAGAAGCAGAAGGGTTCAGATTTCCAGGTTTTTACATGTTAGTTAGTTGTAGGTAATTACCAGTTAGCCCTGGATTCAGGTTTAGTGTTTGCTGGCAGTCGTCAGTAAGGCATATCTGTAACCTTGACGGAACTGTTGTCCCGCCTGAGATCCGAACCCACGTCACCCAGTGCTCTAATCAGCGATTTAACACTGGGCTATTCATGTCGCGGCTCACCTCCTGTAGGACTGAGTTACATGTATTGACTAACCTCCTAGTTTAGTGGTCACATTTCAGATAAGATCAAAAGGATTCGTTCTGGATACAGAACTAGACAACATGAAATTGGTTGGTCACCCGTCACCAATCAACAGAAGATTGTACATTTAGGGCTTGCTAGTCAATATAGAATTAGGAAGTCATACTGAATCTTGACAGTTAATTAAGCCATCATGATCAAATTTATTTCACATTTGAAAATCAAACTATCATCATTCACTACTCTAGGTGCATATTTTCGGAAAATAAGTTACTTTTTTTCTCACTATTATCGCTCTATACATACACTTTCATACAAATAAGGGGTCAGAAAACCAGACATTTTCATAAAACAGGCGAAATATAAAAGAAATGAAGAGGAGGTGTTGATTATTATCATTATTGTCTGAGTTCTACTGATAAAATTCATTTCCTTAGTGTTCAGAAAACTATTTTTTGATCAAAACGTGATCATCAAATAATAAACAAGATCGCAGTTTGCAATCAGTGAAAGGACATCATGTCTGTAGATTTCTAAGATGTTAACAACAAACAAAGCACATGACAAGGTCAATTAACTTTGCAAAACTAATTAATAGACCTCTATCAAAACTTAAGAATCAACACCGATGTCAGGTGATCATTTCTGCAGCCAATATCACGTGCATCACATGTAACCTCAGCAATTATTGACACAATTTGGATTGAGCAAATAACAGAAGTTTTCTGAATGATGCAGATATTCATCATTAATGAGTTCTTCTTTATTATTTCTTATTCTTCCGTTGGGTTCCTAGTAGAATATAGGGATTCTGTAGCACGTTGCTTTTCCACTCTCTTCTCTGCACTCCTTTCAACCAGGCTCCACGACTACCCACAAGCTTCCATTTATTACCCACATTATCTCCTCCAAATCACCATCAGCTGGTACGCCCAACTCGTCGCTCCCCGTTTAGCTTCCACTCGAGTGTGTGGCGCGTGATGTCTCCGAATGGTTTTCTCAGTGTATACTAATCCATCTCCACCTTCTTCTACATATTTGTTGGGCGACAGGTTATTGTTTGGTTCATCTGATCTTCAATGTCTAGCGAGCGTAGGCAGCTGTTGATGAATGTCTGTAGTTTGTTGGAGATGCTTTTTGTGACGCGCCAATTCTCTCAATCATCACATGGAAGCACTGACTTGACTGATATTAATGTTGAAAATCAGAATCTTGTTCATAATTTATGCTGAGTGGAGTGGAGTGCCGAAGATCTCCACACTGATTTCAGGTCAGTGAAGCGAGGCCTCTCTTGCTGTCTTCCCTAAGCTGGCTCTGACAACCTCATCTGCGCAACTGGCACCGCATGTGCTTGAAAGAGAGCTGCCTTCCTAGGTAGGTAGGTGGAAGAGACGACTTCGTTTATATTTCTCCCGTTGATTGTGATTGGCGCTTGTTGTTAATGGTTGGTTATCTTCATCACCTCCGTCTTCTCTAGGTTCACTTGAAGTTGGTCCCATCTTTTTTGCCTCTTCTGTCAGCTTGTTGGTTTTTACCAGTAGATCTTCGAGTTTGAGTCTTAACAAGTGCAAAAGATAAGCCAGTATATATTTTCCACCGCTTTATTCATTCGTTTTAAGCCAATGTCTTTTTTGACGAAGTTCAATGAAAATGTAATCGAAAATATTGAATACTGATAGAGAATGTTTGTTTACTTCAAGGTTTAAAAATAAAGCATATAGATGTTAAAGCGAAATGTTACAACATGTTGCAAATGTACTATTTGGTGTCAAACTTCGCCAAGTTAACTTGTTCACTAGTTACTAGACGGTCCTCAGCCCGGATAAACACAGAAGGGTGGGGATAGGGCAACCAACCCTACACAAGAAAACAAATCTAACCATGAAAGAAACTTCAAAGCACAAACAAAATATAAAATATAAAATCAAACTTATTCCTTGCTGGATTCGGACAAACGAAATGACGCCGGCTGGTAAAAGCCTTCGGGAAGCCAATCAGTCGGGCCAATCTGTCTTCACACTCTCGATGAAAGCGAAAGTAAGAATGGAGACATGGAATATACGCACCATGTATGAACCCAGCAAGGCAGCCCACATTGCAACAGAGATGAGAAGGTATCACAGTGAAGTGCTTGGAATTTGCGAAAACAAATGGAATGGGAGTGGACTCTCCAAACTGTCAACTACAGAGGAAAGTCAATAATCTACTCCTATATTCTCACCCAGACGACAACCACAAGTACAGCACACTGAGTTTTGGAGTGCCTATCATGATGTCACCCTCCCAACAGCATCGAAGGCTCTCTCTCATGCAGTGGGAACCAATCTCCTCCAGCATCACGATCAT